AGCGCATGAGTCTGAGCGGACTAGATGGGGAAGAGCCGCCCTCAGTGTAGGTGGGCACCATCCAGTCGGGGGGCCCAGATAGAACAAAAACAGGAAAGGCAGCTTAGTCTCTCTCTTCCTGGAGCTGGGACACACTCTTTTGCCCTTGGACATCAGAATGTCAGGCTCTCTGTCCCTGGGACCCCAGGACTTACCCCAGCACCCCTCCTTTCCCTTCCTTCCTCCCCCTGGGCTCTCAGGCTTCTGCCTCAGACTGAGAAGTGCATCATCAGCTTTCCTGGTTCTGAGGTTTTTGGACTTGGACTGAGCCATACTGCCACCATCCCAAGTTCTGCAGCGTGCAGACGGCCTGTCATGGGACTTCTCAGCCTCCTTAGTCGCCTGAGCCAATTATCCTAATAAATCCCTTCTCATCCATCCATCTGTCTAACTATCGATCTATCTATCATCTATCTATCTATCTATCTGTCTATCTGTCTATCTATCTATCTATTTATTCTATCTCTCTAGAGAGCCCCAGCTAAAACAAAGAGCATTTCCTAACCAGCAACATCCTCTCCACACAGATCCACACAGTTCTATTGTTGACTTTGGTCTCCCTGCTCACTGCACATAAAGTGCAGACATCTGCATGTCAGAACCTGATGATGTCTAACCAACACCCTCTCTGACTGCCCCTGACATAAAACCCTCCCAATTCATCTCTCTGTGTATACCTGTGCCACTCACTATAAGACTGGAAGGCAGTCAGAGTTCTTTGCCCTCCTCTCCCATTCTGGGCCTTTCTTAGGTAAGCCGGTGGCCTAGGACGTGGAGAAGTTCACCTGCTGGGAGGCTGGGGCTCTGTACCGAGTGAGTGAATAGTTAGATTGTTCCCTTTACTGGGCAATAGCTGAGGATGCCGTTCAGCGCGTTGATTATCCTGTAGGTGCTGTTACTCCTGGCTGTTCTCTGTTTCCTGCTAAGTGGGCCTAAGTTTTTCTAAAAATGAATCTATCAGTTCTGCTCTCAGAAGAAGGTGAGACAATGAACTCACTGTCATGTCGTGGTTGTGGACCTCAGCCCACTCCCAGGGATGAAAAGGGCTACCAGGAACATAGTTCACTATTTTGATTTAAAATTAAAAGACCTAGATTCACGTTTTAGCCCGGTTGTTCTTCAGGGTTGTGGTCCTGGGTGAATTACTTAGTCTCTGAGCATCATTCTTCCTTTTCTCTGAATAAGAGTTACGATCTGTGCCCCATCCCTGGTGAGATGATGGGTGCGAGAGCCCTTGGCGAATTCGAGGCACAGCTCTGTCCTAGCACCTGGAATATAGATGTACGTGAAAAAAACACTGCCTGGCATACAGTAAGTGCTCAGTACCTATCTGTGGGATGAGTGAAATCAAAGGTAGTTCTCCCATTTGTAACTAACTCATTCATTAAATCTTTATTTGCTCATTCTTTTCTTTTTTTTTTTGTTCTGTCACATGTTTTTATTTCTTTTTTTATTATTTCAGCATATTAGGAGGGTACAAATGTTTAGGTTACATCTGTTGCCTTTGTCCCACCTGAGTCAGAGCTTCAAGCGTGTCTATCCCACAGATGGTGCACACCACACCCATTAGGTGTGAATATACTTATCCCCTACTCCCCGCTCCCACCTGCCCAACACCCAATGAATGTTATTACTAAATGTGCATGTAAGTGTTGATCAGTTAATACCAATTTGGTGGTGAGTACATGTGGTGCTTATTTTTCCATTCTTGGGATACTTCACTTAGTAGAATGGGCTCCAGCTCTATCCAGGATAATATAAGAGGTGCTAGCTGACCATTGTTTTTTGTGGCTGAGTAGAACTCCATGGTATATATATACCACATTTTATTAATCCACTCATGTATTGATGGGCACTTGAGTTGTTTTCACATCTTTGCAATTGTGAATTGTGCTGGTATAAACATTTGAGTACACATGTCTTTTTTTATTCAATGTCTTTTTTTCCTTTGGGTAGATACCCAGTAATGGGATTGCTGGATCAAATGGTAATTCTACTTGAAGCTCTTCGAGATATCTCTGTGTTGCTTTCCACAGAGGTTGTGCTAGTGTGCAGTCCCATGTTCATTATTTTCTGAACTTGATGTTCCAGAGAATGAGCTGAGCTCTGATGGTTCACAGTCCTCCAGGAGAATTGTCTTTATGAAATAAAAATATGATTATGTCCATCTCCCCTCTTAAATCCCTCAGTACACGTCGGACCTTAGCACAGCACGTGATGGGTGCGGCCTGGCATCCACCCATCTTCTCTGTTCCATGTTCCATCACTCTCCCCCACTTATCCTGTGTTCTAGCCATGCTAAACTTTTTTAAAACCGTTTTTATTATAAAACATATTTACCAATAAGTACATAAAATATGAATATACGCTCAAGAACTTACCATAAAGCAAACCACCCACGTAATCACTACCCAGGTCAGGGATGGAACGTTGTCAACCCCAGAAGCCCCCGCCCCTTCCTCAGCACACCCTCTCTTTCCCCCTTATGGGTAACCACGGGCGTTGCTTTTGTGGCAGTCACTGAAAGGCTGCTGAAAAAGTGACAGGCTCCACTGTGCCTCTGCAATGTGTGTCTGAGACTTTCCGGTGCCTTCGCTCGTTGTGTTTCTTCTTCCGTCTGGTTGGCAACAGCTCATTTCCAGATCTAGCTCCGAGTGATCTCTTCAGTCTTCTCTGCGTCCTGCATGCGCTGTCCTGTCCCTGTCTCTGTAGTAACGTGCTGCCCTAGATCAGGGATCTCTCAGTCCCCTCCCGCTGTCTGGTAGAACTCCGGCAGCGATAGGACTGTCCTTACCTGTGTTCCCGGTGAGCCACTGGGAATGTGGTGAGTGGGACTGTGGAACTAGGTGTTTAATTTTATTTGACTTTAATTAAAATATAAATAGCCACCCGTGGCTGCCCCATGAAATGGGGGTGGTGGGCAGATGGTGATGCTGGTGTTTTGGGGGTTGTGGGTGTTGGGGGGCCATGGAGGAGAACCCGCCTGTGGGATGTGGAAGGTTTGCATGAAGCAGCACAGAGGAGAAGCTGGGCCATTCTCCCTCATTCATTCTCCCTTGTGATCTGTGACCAAGACCCGCGGGTCTGTTCCCTTCGCATCTCTGGAGTCAGCCCCTTCTGGCATCCCTTGAGCCCATCTCAGCCCCAGCCTCAACGTGTCTTCCTGACGTAGCTGTAGATGCCTCTCCACCGGTCCCTGCTCCAGCCCATTCTCAGTGCTGTTGCCACAGGTGCCTCTTCAGTCTCCTCAGTTCTTGCTTAAAGTCCTGCCTGGGCTTCTTTTTATCATTGAAAATTCAACTTAAGCTTTAAATCTTTCTGTTCTCTCCCTTAGTATTGAATCTTTGCAGGGAAATTGTAATGTAAACATGATTACTGAGGGCAAGTTAAACTCCAGTTTCCAGGGAGTAAAAATGTGAGCTCTCTTCTGTATAATGTCTGCCGTTTCTGGCACTTCTGCCAGATTGTGCAATTGCCTGCATTAGCCATTGTTCTCCTTATCTACCCTGTATTCATCATCTAGGCGCTCATTCCTCAAGTGTGTTTTGAAAAGTGAATATGTTCCAGATGCTTCCTTGGGTTGAGGGGAATTCAGAGATGAATCAGACACTGTCTTGAAGAGCTTATCATCCCGCATGGCTGAAAGCAATAATATTAACAACAGTCATGGTATTTATGAAATACTTTTGATGTGCCAGCCATTCCTCCAGGGGCTTTGCAGGTACAGTTTAAATTCATGTCACAGTTCTTTCTTCTACACTATTTGTGCTTGCCACGTGCCAGGTACTGTGTTAGGTGCTGGGATATCACAGCCTACATGATGGTCCACTTTTCCTCAGGGGCTCATAGCCTGGTAGCGCGGTATGATGAGTTTTGTGTTGGGCAGGTAGAGACATGCAGGAGGGGCATTTGTCTTAGTCTGCTCGGGCTGCCACAACAAGATACTGTCGACTGCGCAGCTCAAACAACAGCAATTCATTTCCTCCTGGTTCCGAAGGCTGGAAGTCCAAGGTCCGGACGCTAGCACGGTTGGGTTCTGGAGAGGGAGGCGCCTCCTCCTGGTTTGTGGATGGGGAGAGAGCAAGATCTCTCTCTCTTTCCCTCTTCTTTCTTATAAGGCCCTATGGGATTAGGACCCCACCCTTATGACTGCACGTAACCGAACTTACCTTCTAAAAGCCCTGTCTTCAAACAGTTACATTGAGGTTAGAGTTTTAACACCTGAATTTTGGTGGGGGACATGGTTCAGTCCATAGCGTCCTGCTTTGGTGACTCAGGAAGGGTTTGCTGGAGGAAGTGTAAGTTAAATCCTGAAAGATGAGAGCACTTACCAGGCAAAGGCAAGAGGGAGCGTGGATGAACAGCATGGGCAAAGACGTTGAGATAAGAGAGACTATGACGTATTTGGGAAACTAAAAGAAACACCAGCGTGGGTGCGAATGTGCTGCAGAATGAGGCGAATGCCACTGGAAGGCTGGGTGTAAATTGCTATGAAAGTTCCAAGGATGACCCAGAGGAGAGGCAGCCTTTGGTCACATCTTAAACGTTAGGAGAAGGATCCTGCAGGCTCGGAAGGACTTTGACATGGAGGGCGGATGCGGCAGAGCAAAGGCCTTCCCTGGGCCAGAGCTCCGAGTGGTGGAACGTGACGCAGAGTGAGGTAGTGCTGGCCACGGGAAGGCCGCGAGGGCTTCAGGACGTCAGCAGCGCCGCGTCTGCGTAGTGTCTGGTCCATATTGAACAGTCCAGAAAAGGTTTTTATAAACACAGAATTTTTAGTCACTTCGGCTTAGAACTTTTCATTGAGTTTCTACTGCCAGTATCTTAGAGTTATTTCTTTTTTCTTAAAGAGCAAAAGTCCCTTTCTCATTGAATTACTTAGTTATTAAAAATATAATGATGTGACCTTGAGCAAACTTCAAGATAAGGTCCTTTTACCTTTGTTTGTTTCTTTTTGACAGATTATGACTCGGATGCCATGAGTAGCTCTTATGAGTCATATGATGAAGAGGAGGAAGATGGAAAGGGGAAGAAAACTCGGCACCAGTGGCCTTCAGAGGAGGCCTCCATGGACCTGGTGAAGGACGCCAAGATCTGTGCCTTCCTGCTGCGGAAGAAGCGCTTCGGCCAGTGGACCAAGTTACTCTGCGTCATCAAGGACACCAAGCTGCTGGTAAAGCGTTCCGAATAGGCGTGTTTGTGTAAAATTGGTAGGATTTTGTTGGAAATATATAGCGATGGAATTCATGCCCAGTCAGTGTTAACATCAGCCACTCAGGGAAGGGGAGCCCTCAGCGAGGACCTGTGCACTCGCAGCGGCCGTGCGCTGGTACCCGCCATAAGCCATCGATGAGCACCGGCCGAGGTTGTGTCTTCACTGCTGTTGGTTTCCCAGCTCCAGAAGCAGCCAGCAGACAAAATCATTCCCATTCTGGGGCAGTGTCTGTGGTTTGTGTCACTGGAAATGCATGATATTTTAACTTGCCAGAAGTTGCAAGATGGATTTTCTCATTTGTAGTGAGTCAGTGAATTCCTCAAAGCCAGGTCATGGAAGTGGGACAGGCAGGCCTTCGGAGGTTTGGAGGGAGAGCGGCCAGGAAAGGAAATTCTTTTGGAAAGCTCGAGGCCAATTCTCCTTTTTTTAAAATCCCAGAGTCAGAACAGGAAGATAAGTAAGTCACAGAGAAGCAGGGGCTGCGGAAAGCACAGACCCCTTTGCTGTAGGTGTTTCTCCAATGGAGGCTCCATTTAGGAACAAGAGCCTTTGAGAATGGTGTGGCAACTCCCCCGCTCCCGCCTCCTCCCTTCTCCCCCCCTCCCGCCTCCTCTCTTCTCTCTCCTTCCCGCCTCCTCCCTCCTCCTTCTTCTCTCCCCCCTCCCTCCCCTTCTACCTTCTTTCTTCCTTCTCCTTCGTTCCTGTAGAAACCATGGTTGATTATGAGAATTATGAACCTTAGAGTATGTTTTTGCCTTTTGTTTTTCCTTCAAAGTAACCTTGAGGGGAAAATTGTTCAAGATTATATCATTAAAACAGAAAACATGAGAATTTATGTTTCTGTATATCATTCTTTAGTGGAGCAAATGATACTTTTCCCCCCCAAGTTTCATCTGTGAATTATGGGTATCTTATTGTATTATGTTCTTAGGACATTGTATATTTTTTAATTAATGTTTTTGTTCAGTCTTTTAAAAATGGTGAGAGAACATATTTTTTCCGCATGTGTGGCCTGAATTTCTCCCGGATTTAGAATATGCCAAAAATGATGCCATAGGGAATTTTAAAGAATGGGGGAAAAAAAGATTAATATGGTCCTTATTTATAATCTGACATAATGGCTGCAAGATGTGGATTTATTATATAAATACTTCAAGAACACACAGTCATCTCTCATCTGAAAGAGAAGTTCTAGAGCGCAGTGAGGAAACCCTGCAGTGGGATGTGGGGTTCGCAGTTTGGGGTCTGGGTCCTGACCCTCGTTGCCACCACTTGTCTTTCTCCCGATCTGTGAGTTTTCTTCCCTTGGGTCTCCTAGCAGCTTTTCCTCCTTCAAAACTGGGATGATAAATCCTGCCATTTAGAGTATTTGTAAATATTTAAGAAGAAATCAACAGAAAAGTGGGAGAAAGCACTGTCTTTAATAAAATGCAGAATCAGTGTTAGTTATTTTTATTATGAAGCTTTTTTCCTTTCAAAAATGACCTATGATCCAACCCTTCAGATAACCCCTATTGACATAAAAAGACAACAGTAATAAAAGTAAATGCTTTCCAAACTGAAACAGTACAGAAAGCTATAAAGAGAAAACAAAAAGCCATGTTCTTCCCCTAAGTGTTCCCAGTCTGTCTTCCCATTTGTGGCTCATTTGTATCTCCTATCATAGAACTTGTTCCTTCTGTGCCCAGGTGGCTCTGGGGTGAATACTATGATACACTCAGACGCCCTTCAGGACCGTAGGACACAGTCCCACACTTGCAGGAAGGGCTGCTGGGCCCACTCGGGGCTGTCTCCATTGAGGAGGGCCCTTGAGCCCAAGGTCCGCTCCTGCCCCACGGTTCTGCCTCCAGTGCCAGGGTATAAAGGCCCAGACTCCTGGGGCAGCTCTGGTGGGGCCCTTGCGCTCTAAAGCTCTTGAGGTGTCCCCGAGGCCACCTGAGCTGTGTTGTGGGTTCCTTCTTTGCCTAGTCCCACTTCTCCCTCTCCCTCCTACTAGCGTTGTCCTAAGGGCACACCTTAATGAATGTCCTGCGTGCCCCTCTCTGTCATAGAGCAGCTTGCCTGGGAGATTGCAGATTGCGGATTGCAGTTTGTCGTATTGCTGATAACAGAGCTACTGTGAGGCATTTCACTTAAGGAAAAATATGAGCTATAAAATTCCCTTTCTGAAATGCCAAATGTTTGAGATGATGGATATGCTAATTACCGTGACCTCACCACTCTGTATTATGCATATCGAAACATCACTATGTACTCCATAAATATGTACAGTTATGTCATTTTTTAAAAGTTTAAACAATTTTTAATTTTTTTTTTTGAGACAGAGTCTCACTCTGTTGCCTGGGCTAGAGTGCTGTGGCATCGGCCTAGCCCACAGCAACCTCAAACTCCTGGGCTCAAGCAATCCTCCTGCCTCAGCCTCCTGAGTAGCTGGGACTACAGGCATGCGCCACTGCCACCATGCCCGGCTAATTTTTTTATATATATATTTTTAGTTGTCTGGCTAATTTCTTTCTATTTTTAGTAGAGATGGGGTCTCACTCTTGTTCAGGCTGGTCTCGAACTCCTGAGCTCAAACTATCTGCCCGCCTTGGCCTCCCAGAGTGCTAGGATTATAGGCATGAGCCACCGCGCCTGGCCAAAAAAAGTTTAAACAATTTAAAATTTAAAAAATTCCTTTTCTGAGTCCTTCCACTGTACTGTTTCCCTTTTACCTTTTTTTTGCACTTACTCAAAATGCAAAAAATATGGTAAATGGTAAACATTTATAACAATCTGAGGTTAATTGGTTTTGATGTATTTTTTTCTTCCTTTTTAGACAGGGCAATCATCAGTTGAATTTTTTAAAAGAGGGGGTGATGTATTCCTTATCTGTGTAATTTGAGAGTCACGGATTCAGAACTATCAAACAGGAAAGGACTCTAGAAGTCATTTCTGAAAATAAGTCTCCATTCATCCCTTCATCAGTAAATGGTGTAGAGCCAGGAATGCAGACTGTGCACTGTGCAGTGTTGGGCAGGAGTCCTGCGCCCACCACTCTGCGGGTTCCTAGCTTTGGGCAAGTTATTAATATTAGTATTTAACCAGCTGCGTCTCAGGGCTGCCACAGTCTGCAAATCTGCAGAATGGATAACTTTGGTGATTAAGTGGAAAGCATGAAATGCCTCCTGATGTCCACACTCAGCACTTGGTAGCAGATATATTGTTACTAATAATTTAATGTAACCTAATAAGATAATAACAATAACAGCAAAACATACTTTATGAAAGGAGGAAATGGGCTCAGAAAGCTTAAAAAGCTTCCTGGGACCCATGATAAATTGGTAACAGGGCTAGTACCCCAATATCTGACCTCTGTGTCTTTCCATTAATGCTTTTGGCCATAAGTAATACAGTTAAAGAAAAGGGGGTAGGGGGAACCCTTGGACAAAGATTTGATTCTAAGTTTTACAAACAGACATTAAGCAAGGGCAATATGAACTAAATCTCAGTTTTAACCTTACCAATTGAAATCTTTAGAGTGGACGTCAGTTGTGTAAGTGGAGCAACATGAGTTTTGGATCCTCTAGTCACCTAGAAAGCAGACCTTTGTAGACATTTTTGCACAATTTGTATTGATATTTATGGTCTTAATAAAATAATTTATCTGTTTTTCAGAAAGGGGATAGAGATGTGATAGGCAGATATCACACAATGTAGGTTATAAAGTATCTGAATTATTATATTGTCTCTCCACATTAGAGCTGTGTAGTTGCAACAGAACTAAAAATATGTTTTATATATTATTCATGTAAATATAAATATATTTTATATACTTTTATTTATAAATAATTTTCCCAGTCCCTTTTTCCACAGGTTACAGCCATTAACAGCCTTTTTGTATCTCCTTCTAGAGCTTGTTCCTCCTATGCTCAGGTAGCTCCAGGGTGGGTACTGCAATGCGCCCACAAGTTCCGTCAGAGTGGGGACTTTCTGCTTCTTGCTGGATCATGCCATAGATGTTCAGTAACTTCTGCTGAGTTCACGAATAAGTGTTACCTTCCTATGCTTGGAGGCAAAGCATCAGTATGAAGGAGTGTTTCGTGTGTGTGAAACTTGTTAGTCTGGAGATCCGTTTCCCAGTTGCTGATGTCTTCGCTCTCTGATCAGACCTGCAGATGTCTTGCCAATATTCATGTTTTCATTATGCTGGAGTTTTATCAGTGTTTCTGTTTGAACTTTCTCATAATATACATTGATTTGTTGTGTTGAATGCAGTGCTATAAAAGTTCCAAGGACCAGCAGCCTCAGATGGAACTGCCCCTACAAGGCTGTAACATTACATACATCCCGAAAGACAGCAAAAAGAAGAAGCACGAGTTGAAAATTACCCAGCAAGGCACAGACCCACTTGTTCTTGCGGTCCAGAGCAAGGAGCAGGCTGAACAGTGGCTGAAGGTAGGTTGTCTGTTATGTTTCTGAGCCATTTTCAATTCCAAACCTCTTTCTGAGATTTAATTTTATTTTAATTTGTGTTTTTTTAAGCATAGGCAGAATGGGTTAACCTGAATAGTTTTATCTTTCATAGCTGAGTATTCTGATTACTTTGAGGCGAATCAGAAACCCATTTCAGTATAACTCTTGTCTCTGTAGATTTGCCTACTCTCAACATTTCATGTCAATGGACTCCTATGAGGGTGGCCTTTCGTGTCTGGCTTCTTCCACTTAGTGTCCTGCTGTCAAGGTTCATCCATGTTGGAGCAGGTGTCAATATGTCTTTCCTTTATACTGCTTTTTTTGTGTCATGTGTAAGAGCCCCTTTGCTGAATCTGAGGTCCTGAAGATTTATACCTGTGTTTCCTGAGTGATTTACAAAGTTAGCTCTTAAATCAAGGTTTATGATCCATTTTGATTTGTTTTGCTATTTTTTGCATATAGTGTGAAACAGGGGTCCAATTTCATTCTTTTTCATGTGGGTTTCCATTTGTCCCCATAGAAGTCACTTGATTCTTAGAACAGTGCTTTCCTCTGTCAGGGAGCATTTTCATTTTCCTCTGCCACATGTTTGGGGGTGTCAGCTCTCCAAAATCAGGGTTCGAGGTGATCAGAGCCACCCAGGTTACTTGAAGTCAGCCTGCAGTCCATTCAAGAGAAGGTTTATGTGTCTTTTATTTTACTCTTAACTCCAAGATGCGTTCCTTTGGGGTCCCCATCTTGATTGTGGGTGCCTTGCCAGGGACCTCATCCTTGGCATGCCCTGGACTCCAGCTTTCAATCCCTCCTCCCGCAGAGTGGTCAGAGATACTGCTTGCCCTCAGCTGCCTCCTCCAGGGTGGCAGAGGCAATGCCAGCTCCCAGGCTACCTCTCTGGATTTCCAGCCTCTTCTGGGTCTTGGCCCAGTAATCCCTCTCTATCATAGTAGCTTCTTCATGCTTTGGGGAAGATGCTTTGCATATTTTATCTTGCTTTTCTAATTGTCTTCATTACCAAGATTGGTCCAAACCATCTATTCCATCATTGCCTGCTGGCTCCTGTTATGAAAAGGGTTGGAAAGGTGGGAAAACCTGGTAAGCATTTTTGTAACAGTGGTTCTTACAACATGCAGGTATTCATATTAAGTATTCATTAAAATTCTTATTTCCCGCCTGTCCCCAGGAAATTAGAAAGGTCAGACTGCATGATGGTAACAATGATTACTATCATTGTGTCTGTCAGCTGCTCAGAACACATTGATGTTGTCTTTTTTATTTTGTTGGGAGTGGCTGTGGCTTTCCTCGTATTTGTATCGTATGGGAGTTGAGGAGAGCGGTTTCTTCCTCTGAGTGATCCTCCTGGAAGTCCTGTGGTGAGGAATTTCTACTGTCGAGTTTATATCCTTCCCGACACAGAACTTCAGTATGTTACACGTCAACCCCACCGTTACCAGTATCACTGAAGCCCTTTAAGTGTACAAAGGACTTTCCCGCCATCATTATCTTGTAGTCCCCAAAACAGGCACCTGAGAAAGGTGTTATCATTAGCAGTTTCACTTGACAGTGAAGAGACCGAGTCTCAGGTAAGTGAAGTGACGCCAGCTGTGATCAGCCCGTGACAGAGCTGGGGTCCAAATCAGGTTTCTCTGGCTTCGTGTCTCATTCTTGTTGTGTTGGGCCATCTGACAGTTTGCCATTTTCTTTGTTTTTCATTCCTCACGCCTGTGATTGCTGTACCATCCCTTCAGTAAGGAGGGAACACAGTTTGGAAACGAGTGAGCAGCTTTATGATTCTGTTTTCTTCATCTGGTCTCACTGTTTTGGTTACCTGCACCCATCCTGCATTCTGTGCTTTACTCTGCAATTTATGCTTTCTTCTTTTTCCCTTGTATTTCGTGCACACTAAAGCACAGCGCCTTGCTTGCTGGCGTCGGTCTCCTGTGAAGTTATCTGGAGTGCCACTGGGAATGGCATGGAGCTGACAGTGCAGCTGACAAATGCACCATTAAAAACAAACTTTTTCAAGATGTGAGATGCTGATGGAGTGAAATGATCTTGTATCTTGTTTCACCAGATGCGAGATACTTATAGATCAGACGCACTTAGCTAATTATAGAAGGATGACTCCATTTATGAATGGAAGTTAACTATAATAATTTTTTTTAGCATTTGCTGATGATAAATAAATAAATATATTTTAATAAATAAATAAGTGAAACAGGGTAAATTATCTTTTTCCCAAGAGTTTAAGGTGATGAATTACTTTATTTAATGCCTGTGTTACTTCCATTACATGTGACAGTACGAGAACCTAAGAAATCTTGATTAGAAATGATAGTCAGATTGCAAAACTAGTTTCAGTCAATCGGTTATAGAATTTTAATTATTTTAGACCAGCAGAGACCTGAGTTGGCCTAGTTTAGTTTCTCCAGATACTGTCATTAGATTTGCTGCCTTATTGAATCACCTAGAGATTTAAAAACCATAGATTTCCAATGATTCAGATTCATTCCGGACCTAAGAATCTTTTTTTCTTTTTACTTTATATCTATTATATCTTTTTAAGATCTAAAATGCTACAGTTGGAACTGAGATATGCCTCCCCTGTTTAATTCTCTCTCCCTTCTCAAAGGTAACTTTTATCTGAATTTGGTGTTTATCACTGTCTGGTTATGTTTTTTAAGAAATGCCTTCACTTATATATGTACACGGCCATGCATGGTAAATAATATGTTTTTCATGTTTCATAATTTCCATGTAAATGGCTTCAAACTCCATGTGTCCTGTGGGTGGTTTTTTCACTCAGAACTGTTTTACATCCGTGCTCCTGCTGATGGCCACTTAGTGTGTTCACACCCTCTCCTACCACAGGCTGCGTTGCCGTGAGCGTTCTCCTATGTGTCCCTTGGTCTCACGCTTGTGGCTTCTCTGGGATGGATGCCTTGGATACCTGACGATGGAATTGGCAGGTGTAGGAAGTACACATCTTTAGCATCACTAGATTTTGTCAAATTGTTTTCTGCACTTCCCCCAGCAGTGCCGGAGAACAGTCTTCTTTTGTATATCTCCTTTCAGAGTTTCTATGTACATGTGCATGGAAATTCCTCTCACCTGCCCATAGAAAAGGTAAAGCATTCTGCACCTGGTTTTCTTCACCCAAGCAAAGTATCTTGGAGATCTTAGCAATTTAGAGAATAGAGAGCTTTCTCTTTTTTAAAAATAGTATATAGCATTCCATTGTGTAAATAGACCATACTTTAAAAAAATATCCCATTCATAGACATTGGGTTATTCTCAGTCTTTTGATATGACAGACAATTTTATATTGTTAATAAATAACCCTATGCATATATCATTTCATACGCTAGTCTGTAGGCTAAACTCCCAGAAAGAGTAATTGCTTGTATGAAGGCTATAAGCATTCATAATTTTGATATATAGCCAAATCTGTCTTCATAGGCAGCCCTAGTTTTCAGCAGTTCACTGTGAGGTGTGTAGGTGAAGTTTTATTGGTTTCTGTCTTTCTTGGTGTTTGTTGAGTTCCTTGGTTCTGTGGGTTGATGCCTTTCCTTACTTTTGGAATGTTTTTGGCCATTTTCTCTTCAGACGCTTTTTTCTGCCTCAATTTTTTTTTCTCTCCTCTCCTTTCGAAATTCCATTCATAGATATGTTAGGTCCTTTGATATTTTCATATGGATTTCTTGATACTCTTCTGTTTTTGATAACTCTTTCGTTGTGTTTCAGCTTGGGCAGAGGCCTTTAGTTTACTGTCCTCAGGTTTACTGATCTTTCCTCTTCTGTGGCCTGGTGTGTTACACTCGTCTGATCCATCTTCTTTCCTGACATCCTGCTTTTCATTTGTGGCCTGGCCACCCCCTTCCCTCCCTCCATTCCTTCTTTCCTTCCTTCCTCCCCTCCTCCCTCCCTTCCTTCCTCTCTCTTTCTTCATAGTTCCCATCTCTCTGCTGAACTTCCCCATCTATTCATGTTGTGCACCATTTTTATGAACTATTTTAGCATTTCTATCATATCTATTTTAGCATCTCTGATAATTCCAGTATCTGGCCCATCTCTGGGACTGCTTGTGTTGAATGTGTCTCAGGAGTTTATATTATATTCTGTACATTTTGTGTGAAAGAGCAGTGGAGACTGAAGTGAGCTGTATTCTCTCCAGAAAATGGTGTGGCCCCCTACCGAGCTGCTCCTGGGTGGCTTGTGTGCATCTCACCTGTGGTTGAGAGGAGTCTGCACTTTGTTGCAGCTTCACTTTGATTCACTTCACTTCTGCTGTCCGAAGGGTTGAAGTGCTGCATCAGGAACTTCCCATCAGCTTGGCGTGGGCTCTGAGACCTGTGGTGAAAACCTGGAGATCTCTTTTGTATACTGCAGATGCGTGACCGGCTTTCTGAACCAGCTTGTTGTTTTGTTTCTGGTTTTGGCCTAACAGCCAGCTTTTGGCTTGCTGAGGTGGTCTCTGTGTTCTGCAGTCTTGCCTCTGGCTTTTTGTGCCTTGGGAGAAATCTCTCTGCCCTGTACTCTGTCTCTAGCTATTGAAGGTTGGGTGCCTGGTTCTCTAGGAAGCCTGGTCCTTCCTTGGGGAGGCTTCGTGCCGCCCCCTGCCTTCATCTGCAGAGCAGCAACCTTGCAGTTGGGAGAAGTATTGTGCATCTCAAGGGGACCCCTCTGAACTCTGTTTGCTTGGTTCCAGCTTCTTTGCTGTGCCTGCATACTCAATAAAGCCCCAGGGGAAAGATGGGTGAGTGAGTGTAGGCTCCTTCTGTCGAGGTGCTCCTTGAATTGTTTTGGGTTTTTTTTCCGAGACAAGAGTCTCACTCTGTGGCCTGGGCTAGAGTGCTGTGGCGTCAGCCTAGCTCACAGCAACCTCAAACTCCTGGGCTCAAATGATTCTCCTGCCTCAGCCTCCCGAGTAGCTGGGACTACAGGCATGCGCCACCACGCCCAGCTAATTTTTCTATTTTTAGTTG